ATTATTTATAACAGAGTGTTAAATCACAACCAAACTGACTGAAAACACATTTCACTGTCAGTGTGCCGACTGTTTTCATTCACTCATTCAGTATCCATCCTATTTCTGCTCAGGGCAACATGCTGACAGCTGCCACACTGCAGGTCACATCCCAAATGTTTTGTAGGCACTGTGGAGGGCTGTAGCCATATGGCTACCAGCATCACATGACATACCAATATTGGATAAACAATACACACGACCCCATTGTCTAGGACGCTACCATAGTGAGCAGTATAAACGCAGAATGCTTCCATACATCTATTGTTAACATTGTCTTCTGATTGACTGGCATTGTTTTGTTAGATTATATTAGGATATGTCCCACCTACTCACTAATCATCTATAAAGTCATAGCTTTTGATAAAGTGTATGTTATGATGCTATTGGTGTCTGTAACCCACCAAGTAATTTTATTAGCCTACCTACCAACTTATAATATTACACTACACACTATTAATTAAATCTACCTACCTAGTAACATCTGTCATCAGCAGTGTTTAGCATTGTTTGCGCTTATAAACATGCAGTGTGTGTATATATGTATACATATATAGCTGAGCTTCACATCAGCTCAAAGCAGTCTGGCCATTTTCCTCTGACCTCTGGCATCAACAAGGGATATTACACCAGAGGTCTGCTGCTCGCTGGATACTTTCTGTTTTTCAGACCATTTTCTTTAAACCTAAACATAATCCCAGGAGTTTCTGGAAATGCTCATGCTAGTTTGTCTGGCACCAACAACCATGCAGTGTCACTTAAATCACCTTTCCTCCCTACTCTATCTCTCAGTTTGGACTTCAGCCACTTGTCCATGTCTACATACCTAAATAGATAAATGCACGAAGTTGCTGCCATCTGATTAGCTGATTATATACTTACATTTAAACACATTAGCATATTGGCCAACATATATGGTGAAAACCAATTTTCTTACTGATGTCTGTTAGAGGATGTCAACAAGAAGGTGACTTTTCTACATTTGAATGTTTAGCGCAATTTCATACTATACATTGAACAAGAAAGAAGGAAGTACTCTCACTGTCAAAATGCTTCTGCCTAAAGATGTAAACAAAGCCAGAGTGGGACAAGTCTGACTTTATTGGCACCTTTGAGACCTGAATATCAGCACCAGGGTGATGTTGTAAACTAACATGAAGGTTACAAATGCTTTAGCTCCTCATCGCCTAAGGAATATTAAATAAATAGTGTTCCCATATGACCTTGAATCGTGTGTGTGTGTTAGTGAGTGTGCTAGTGTTAATTTCTGGTCACTGTGGCAACAGTTACCAAGCAGCACAATGAGCTCCACTGAGCTCTGCCTGGAAGATTATGAGGATGCAGTTTAATGAATAGGGCGTGCTGCCTTTTTAAAGGCAGCTTTTATGTAACATTTAAGGCTTGCTTCACTATCCTGAATCACAAAAACTGGTCCTTTTATGCTTTTTTTTTTTTCTCTCATATACACAAACATAGTATATGTGTATACTTTTATAGTGTTGGAGGTTTAAGTAGACAAGGACAAAGTCTTAGATACAAAGGTCAGCAAATGTTCAGGTAATCTCTATAGGGGCTCTAAATGTTTCACTTTAGACCTTTAAAAAAAATCTGGTTTCTAAATTATATGTATAATAATCTCTATTAATGTTATTACAGTTCTCCAAAACATTGTAAATCACAAAATGGTCAATTTAAATATACTGTAATAAATGAAAAACATAGGCTTGTAAAGAAAACAAAATATTACCAAAAGTATCAGGTTGAACCTTTTATTTTAAACATAATATTATATTCCTTATCTTCTGCTGGAAAATACTGATGTCTCTTTTTCCCCCATTGCAGTAAGGTTTTCCTCTCTGGTTAACAGATAATTTCTGTTTCCTGCTTTTTCTTACAGTCTGGACGTCAAAGTTAATATGGAAAACGAACAAAAAAAGACTGACAAAGGTTTTGTTTTGGGTTTTTTTGTTTTGTGAGCCACAGTAACTGTCTCAGCAGAAACAATACTGACAACTTCCACTATTTAAAAATAGAGCTTTGTGATTTTCTTGAACTCTTCTAACTGCAGTGGAAATACTTTTAATTAAGATTTCTCCCACTTATTCTGAAATCATGTTTCAGCAGTGGTAGCGTATTAGCAGTCCGCTGGCAGTTAGTGGACACCCTGTCTACCTGCAGAGTGGGCCTGTTGTTGATGGAGGCAGTGTACAATGTGGTGTAACGGATCTGGGGCTACTCTTGCTTGTGGGTCTCTCTGTCAGGCTGCCAGAGAAGACGGCGTTAACATGCAAAAGAGCTCAAGTAAAACCAAGTGTTAACAACAATGACTGCTGTGTGTTGCATCTTTGGTGTTTCTTTTCACACGTCTCTCATTGCTGACACTCTCTCTGCCCTTGTTTCAGTTGTAAGGGTTCTTAAACAGCGGCTTTCTACTCAGCCTGAGCACTCAACGCACTCATTCACTGATTCATCCGAGTACTTTTTTCTATGCTTAAGTGCTTTCTGTCTAACATTCACATTCCAATGGATGCATCAATTAGTATCTGCAGACTGCAGCAGCCGGGGATGGAACCACCAACCTACAGATTGGTAGATGACCTGTTCTACCTCCTGAGCTGCAGCCACCCACTTGTCAACCAGTCAACATTTGTTCATTAACATCCAGAAACCTGTAGTTGTTGTGTTGGAGGACACATGGCTCTGAATGAGAGCATAGAAGCCCCACCCATCTGCTGTTCATTATGTTGTTAATGAGGGCAGCCAATCAACTCGGCATAAGTAAAGTTGTACAAATCAGCTGACCAGGGGCTCGATTTGTTCCAGCATTCTTGATCCTGTCTGGTAACCATGTTCAGTTATGAGCTAAGCAAACAGTCACATGTACACATACAGCACATACAACATGTCATTAACATGGAAGCTCTTCACTATGAGTGAAGTCAAAAAGTTCAAAATAAACTGTAGGTGGAGCACCATGAAAACTTAATCATAAATTGTCTTCACCCAGCTGAACATGGATATTTTAAGGAAGTTAACAAAGGTAACGTAGCTTAAGCTACAAGGAGCTCGACAGCCACAGCGCAAGCCAGCGTTCTGGGTAAGGTTTAAAAAGATCAAAGCAGTTAGAAGAGAAATGATAAAGATGAGTGAACAAGAGAAACAGGTCGATATCCTGCTGTCTGCTGAATTTACAGTCAGACTAGAAAATGATGCAAGTACCTGACACTACCTCTCATTTGCGGTTAATCAATGGTACATTGGTAGCAGAGCACTTTAGTTTCAGTTGTTTCGGTGACAGAATAGCCTGTAAACAATTTACAGAGCTCCGTAATATTTGGCATTGATAAAAAATTTATTTTTGTTTTTTGATTTGTTTTTTCAACTTGTCATTTTTATAAAAAATAAAGATTATTTTGAAGTGTGAATCAAAAAAGCTACATTTAGCAGTATAGAGTATAATATGTGTCACCTTTACACCTTTATTTAAGACAAGTTGTGAGTAAATTGGTTATTGTTTTATAAGAGCTTCCTCCAAACAACCTATGTAGAAATAATGAAGTCAAGAGTAGAAGTTACTGTCTATAGAACAATAAATGAGAAGTTCATCTCACCATTTCCTCATTGATAGAGTCTATAAAGTTCCTCTTTTGTCTGCCATCCATTAGTGTGCAACCCCCCCCCATCATTAATGCAGATAACTGTAGCTGAAACACACTTAAATCCAACCAGTCAACGTGTCAGTTATCTGAATTTCAGTGAAATAATGACACTTTGGCTTTGGTGGTCAGTTCACATTACTTCAGATTTGCAGCCATGAGTGATTCCCAGACACGGGACACCAGTGAAGAGTGGGAAGTGTGACATGTGACAAGTACCAGAACACCACAGCCTGAAATGTAAACTGTTCAGCAGAAGTAAGACTGAGGATGTAGCATGCACGAAAAGGTCAACACTTCTTTTTTCTTTTTTTATTCTCATAAACCAGAAGAGTACCATCATTCCACATGAAAACAATGGTGCAATGCAATGGTGTTAATCTATTATTAGTAGATCCACAGCTGCTCACATGTGGTTGTGACACTGGTTGGTGCAACAGAGAAGTCTGCTGTGTTTGAGTCACTGCAGACAGACACCAGACAACTTCAAATCCTCTGTGTCACCTGCAGTTGGTCCGTGATGAGAGGAACACGTAATCCCTATTCTGTCTGATTCCACCACACTGGCATCTGTTGTCTAACTGATCCTGTTTTTGTGTTTAAGCTTCCCCACATTGTATTCAGCAGATATCTGCTAGATACAATGTGATGGGTTAAAATTGTATATACTCTGTAACAGAGTACTGTAATACATTTAACAGTCATAGTAATGTTACTGATCAAGTTGCTTACAAGTTGATTTCAGTTTGTGTTGATCAAGGAGAAAATGTGAGAACACTTTACAATTTCTAAGGAGTGTGAATGTTAAAGAAAGTTACTTTAATTTTCATTGCATGACAGCAGGCACTGTGCAAACTGCACCCAACGCAAAGACACAATATCAACACAAAGCAAACCGCTAAGAACACTCCACCCACAGCCATGATTTAAAGCTGGACGTTTGCACATTAACACAAATTAAAACTACACCTAATATCTTTATTTTCAAACATAAATATACTGCGTGATTAAATATTAACTGTGTTATATGTAGTATTTATCATTACATCACAAAGTCGGAGGAAGCGAAGTACAACAAAAAAGATTAATTTATAAAACATGACGTGTTATTTCGAGACACATTCTTAGTTAAAAATGCTTTCCAGGATTCCACGAAGATCTCAGTGCGTGGTCCTATAAATTTAATTCGTGATGCAGCTATGTAAGGATGTGTGGTAGAAAGTTGAACTCGGAGCTTCGCCCTCAGATGGTGGTGACAGTTGTGCATGAATGGGTCATTAAGGCAGAATGTGATTTTCCACTCACCGGCATCATGTTGGCAGGTCCCCGCTCTGTCGCATCCACTGCAGCTGAAACCATCAAAGCTTACACCGTCAACCTCCTCTGCTGCCCGCCTCTCTCTCTGCGCTTTACTGTCACATCACATCTATATATTTTTTTTTAGATTTCACCTCCTGCTCGACCTGTTGCAATGGGCGGTACGGTGGGATGCCCTCTGGAGAAAAAAGGCAGGTCGCTTTCAGAGAGAAGAACTACATGCAGCTGAAGGAGAGCAGCGTTTACACACCAGACTGCAGCTCTTGATGATCTGAGCAGAAAACAAAGCGCGGAGAGCCGAGCTGCTGCTCTCCTGCTGCGCTCCTAATCCTACTCAGCTCCCAGCATCTCACTAACGAGGCTTGGTTTTGGACATTAAACAGGAACAGCACTTCCGGTCAAATCTTTTCAGAATTAAAGCGACTCTTTCTCCAGAGTATGTTTTTAACGTGTACATTTTCGATTTGTGGGGATCAGAGATTTAAACCACCGTGATACTAAATGATACACAGAGTTATGAAAAAATTAAAATTCTAGCAAAAGAAAACAAATAAATAATAGACCATCAGTGATAAATATCCACTTTGCTCTAAGAAAAGAAATTTTCACACAATAATACTAGAGAATACATTTACAGTGACTGTGAAAGGTTCTCTGTCTCTCTGTGTTACAGAGAAACAGGCTAATCAGGGGATTTTGTTTTAATCTTTCATATTCACAATTCTCATGGAATGAACTGGAACCTGAGGTGATGGACAAATACATACATACAACGCTCTAATGAACTCTGTCTGCTTTAAGTTACCTCACACATGAGAAAATTGGAGTCCATTAGACAGATATGACTTAAACCACTGTGCCACAGTACCTTTAATATCTATGACATGTTCTAACAACTGTAATAAAAAGTGTGGTCAACAGTGTCAAACACTACACTGTCTAGCAGTACAGAGGTAAGTCTACTGTCTGAGGCCACAAGATCATTTGTAACCTTCATTAATGCTGTTTGTGTACAGTGAATTCTGAATCGATTCAGTTTTATTTATATATCACAAAATTGCAACAACAGTCACCACAAGGTGCTTTATACTGTAAGGTAAAGACTACAATAATAGAGAGAAAACTCCAACAATCAAATGACCTCCTCTGAGCAAGCACTTGATGACAGTGAAAAGGATAACTCCCTTTTAAATGGAAGAAGCCTCCAGCAGAACCAGACACATTGATGGTTTGGTGGAAGTTATTATTGAACACAGAAAGATTGGAGAGAGAATCTAAACGAATATCAGCTGTACATAATGATCTGTGTGGTGGTTGGAAATGCTTTTCCTCTAATGGTGAAAATTTAATTTGTTAATGCAATTTCATTTATTTTTTAAACAAAGTTGTTAATTCATTAGTAGTGTAACGTGCGGTGGAGATGAAGCCAGCCGCGGAGGTGTGCAGGTGGATAGCGAATGAGCAACAGCTTCTGACTTTCCAAAAAGTACTCATTTATTTACAATATCAAAAATAAAAGTGCTACCTCTACCACACATTACTAAAGAGCACACTAGTCCGCGTACACACGGGAGCATCCATTACAGGAGGAGTGCGAAGAAGAACAAAAAGGGGGTGACACACCAGTCACGAGACAGGAGGCGCCGCCATGTGGTCATACACTGCATTACAATAGCAACTGTTACAGTAGGTAAGGTTAAAGGAATGCTTGGCTCAGTAGACATGTGACTCTCTGTTGGCCTGGCAAGAACCCTGAGTTTAACCTGGGTTATTCTTATTTTCTTCAGGCAGTAATGAATAGTAAAATGTCCTAGTTTTATGATTATTTTTCTTTGTTTGTTTTCCATTTTATTTTGGAGCCAAGAGTGGCCGAATTTGGAGGTGGGCTGAGCATGTGCCAGAAACATTTATCATGAGTTACAATTATCATTAGCTTAACACTGGTTAAATTTAGCTCTTATATCAAACACTGAAGGTTGGTGTTTTTCGTAACAAAAATTCTCAGTGAAACTTTTAATTTGAAACAGGAAGTGTTTTGTTTAGCTTCCTGGAGTAATGGGGGTACGCTATATCGACACACGTGTGTTTGGAACTTAGGAAAAGACGACTTAACAGCGGCTCTATATCCAGGTGTGTTGACGTTTATTTTATACGAAATACAGGAAAGAGCAGACTTAATAAGCTGGATGACGTTTGCGCTTGTTTCAGGTTGTTGTGTTTATAACGCGCTCGCTCTTTGGCCTGGAGGGAGGGTGCAGCTAATTTAAAAACACATTTGATTTTCAGCGCGGTGTTCATCCAGATAAAAAGACTGTGGAAGTTGTTATGTTTCCCCATGTACTCGCTGTTAATCCTGCTTGTGAATGTTACACCTAACAAGTCTCCTGACAGTAAACACTGTACACGAGATGACGCCATTTCCGTGGGTAAAATACCGATGACTGTCCTGGGAATTATTATTGTTGCTCCATATAACCCGAATCAGAGTTCAGCGCTCATCAAAGCCGAATAAATCTGCCGTAAAATCCCCATTCATGTGTTAGACAAGCAAATGCGAATACAATTCACAAGATACATTATGTATGCAATTTCCCATGCAGTTATTTGCTCTATTAGGTAACCGTAGTCCTTATGAACCAGTGAAAACTTACATTTTAGTCTTCGGAAAGATTTGCTAGGATTAATAGAAAGTACTGATATTAATATTCGTTAGTTTTCAAGATCACATTTTCATCCAGCGGCATCGATCATTAGCTAGCACCGAGTTGCTAGTTGCTATATGGTGTGTGGTTATTTCCGTCAATCTGCGCTTTTAAAGTTATGCATCATGAAAGTACAAAAACCCCAAAGAACTGGTAAAACTTTAAGAGACGTTTCAGGAGCGCCCACGTTGATGTCAGGTCAGCTTTTAATAAGAAAGAAAATCCACTTGTGCCAATGGAGTGCAGGAGAAGCGTGTTTATTAATGTGTAACACATCTAATGCAAGATGGCGCACAGACCGGTGTTGTGCCAAAAAGCGATTTCCAATGTTTCCGTGTATTTTTTTTATGTGTAATATCTTTAGGTGAAGACAACGTTGGAGAAACGTGAACATTTTATTTGTACTGTATAATCTGCAGATTCTGACAGAAATCTGCAGCTATCCTTTGAAGCACCGCTCCTCTAAAACAGCAATAAGGATCATTATTAGGCCAAATGTAAATAACAAAATAACTTTATAACTTAAAGCAAAATTGGGAAACGTAAAGTCCGAAACAAGTCTTTATATTAAGGCCTCTCTT